CCCCTAAATTTCTTAAATACATTTTGAGTTTGGACACAGCATTTCACCTAATAAAGTTAGTTAATAACTTTATTAGGTTATTAAGTGTTTTGTTATCCGGGGTATAAATGAGTATGGAAAAAATAGGCCTTTTATAACTCCCAATGAACCAACCCAAATGCCAATTCCAGCTGACTCAGCGAAGATATTTTTATCATAGAAAATTATTTGATTATTAATTGAATAGGCAAGGCCTTGAAAATCGAGTTATAATGATTTAAAGGTGGAAGTACAATATACGGAAATGTAAACTTATGGGCACGCGGAAGATACTGAAACCCCACTGCAATCACATAGCCTAAAGAAAATAACATAACTTGAAGTTTTAAAAATCAACTCGACTGACTATGAAAATTGCAACTGGAACGAGAGTTGGCGTAGACCCTCAGGTGGTCAGCCCACGACATCCTGCTCATTGAAAATAAGATGAAACGCAACCATGTCATCTCTTCCTTGTGAGGAAAAGAGAGGTGCAAGAATAAGCTGACCTAGAATAAAATGAAACGGTTTAAAACAGGTAACTTGTTTTTCAAATCAAYTATCAAGTAACTGAATCCGACTACGAAAAAATGATGGATAATTCAAAACCAAACCAAGAATGCAAGCAGTTCCGAACCATATAATTATTTATTTATTTAAGGTCTCCTCGACAGATGTAAGCCACTTACAGAGCGAGACCATATAACAACACCACATTTATTACATTGAATATTTGAAATCATCCTTGAACATATAATTATATTTAAAAACACATGGTTTGCCAGAGTCCAGTCTCTCCGAGAGCGCTAAGCGCACTCAGGAGAAAAAATATATCCTCAGTGTCCCCCAACTGATTACAAGACTTCATGATTTTTAGAAGAGTGAAAACTTCGACACTTCGATTCTACACTTTGGAAGACAACAGGCATCAGAGAGCGTCTTGAGGTCATCGAGGGAACAAGGAACGTAAAGGCTTTCACGGCCGATTAAATCACATTTAGGAATGTTTTCCGGGCTTTAAAGACATGGTCCATTCTTCCTGACGTTTCGTCCACAACTGCGGCGAACATAACAACTTCGGCGCACATGCTGTTTGGCGCAAAACGCGTTTCCAATCTGGATTGAGTGCCGTAGTTTCTTCTTTTCTGTTGAAGTTGTTTTGGTGTTTAAATATTTCGATGGCCTCTCTGGTGAGTCTCGGGTAGTATATTTCAGATTGGTGCAGAATGTCCACTTCGTCGAAGCGTATTTGGTGACCGTCTAGCAGTGCGTGCTCCGCTACTGCTGATTTTTCTGTTTGTCCCAATCTGCAACTTCCTTTGTGCTCCGTGATCCTAGTGTTTATGCTTCGTTTTGTRGTGCCGATGTATGCTCTTCCACAGCTGCACGGAACTCTGTAAACTCCTGGTGCTGATAAAGGATCCCGTTTGTCTTTAGCCGATCTCAAAGTCTGTTGGATGGTTCGTGTTGGTTTAAAAATTGTTTTTACTTCGTGTTTCTCCAGTATCTTGCCGATCCTGTCCGTAACTCCATGTGTGTACGCGAGGCAAGCCCAACTCTTACGCTCATCATGCGTTTGTGTTGTCTCCGAGCGATCTTCACTGTTTTTTGGTCGAATTGCTCTATTGAAATCTTTCTTACTGTATCCATTCCAACCAAAGGCCCTTTCCAGGAATCTGCGAACCAGCCGAGTTAGAGAGAGAATTAGAAAGCACGAGAGATCACTTCGCCCACTGCCCCATCGTCTTTGATAATGCAGTTGTGGACGAAACGTCAGGAAGAAATTCCCATGGACCACGGCTTTAAAGCCCGAAAAACATTACTAAATGTGAAGGAACGTAAGTTCACTAGGTATGATCGAAAAAATTGACGGAGTCACCGGTCCATAATTCTATAATAAATTATTTGCGCCTTTCTCAAATACCGTCAAAATCTTAGCCGAATGCCATGGTTTAGGGCACGCATCTGAGCGGAGACAAGCATTAAATATTTATGTCAAAGGGGATAAAAATAAAATTGCACAACCTCAACAAAAACTGGGACATTGTCCGGTCCTGCAGTGTCCGTAAGTCTCATTTCTCTCAGACAAAACAGAATTTGAGATTCACGAATCTCCCCGATTTCAACGAACAGATCGTTTCCATTCGCAAAAACATCGGCAGTATTAAACTCAGCAGAGACGATGTAGGATTTCCGAATATAAGTAGTAAAAGCATTTAAAATGTCAGAGGGGTCGGAGTAGGAAGCGTTCCCATCCATAACAGTGTCCGGAATCGCACCATAAATTCTCCTGGAATTGGTTTCAGAAGCAACTGTTTCTTCTTTACCAGGATGGATACTCCGTTAACCCTCTAAACGTTTTCAGAACAACCCTATTCAGTTGTAGATATCTTCCAATTATCGATATTTTAAAAAACGATTCAATTTTTAAAAGAAAAGAAAGAAAGAAAATGCAGATTAACGGGGAAAAACTAACAAGAAATCAATGCAAAATCAACCACTCATATACTTTTATAAATCAGTTATTTAGGATAAATGAAAATTGCCGTAGTTCCTTTGAAGAGGACGTAAATGACTGTTTTTTGGTCCAGCTCAACTGATTGGTTCAACTCGAGAGTGCACAACATTTCAAATAGTTTCTAACATTTTGTCGTAGTTTAGTTGGCGTTCAAAATGCAGAAAACATAATGGAACAATAGAAAATATAATACATATTACAATTGTTGTCGATATGTAGGGTGTCCCGTAAGCTCATCATCAAAAGGGTACTGCGATATTCCCCGGATCAAAACAAGAAGAACTGATATACCGCTAACTGAGCTATTGATAGTTTATGGAAAAGTTCTTAAAAAAAATTAAAAAAATTATTATCGAGAGAGTGGTCCGATGGATGTTAGCAAAACTCGCTGTGAATTTGTTCTCATGTAAAACTCATACTTTGATGAAACGCCTGAGTTTATACGCTTTCGGTAAGTAGTAAATTAAAAAAATATAAGGAAAATCAGAACCTTTCATTTTGTTGATGGACTCAACTGATTTTTTTGCTCGGTGTACTAATCCTTTGCACACATTTTCGTGCTCTTCATAAAATCTTGTAACATTCATAGTTTTTGCGTAAAAAAATATTTCAGTTTTCTTGCCACTTAATAATATTAGCCATTAACTGCAAATAGTATAGGCTCATAGTAGTAAGTATATGGCACATTTAGACTGCAGTTCGGCACGGCCGTTCATCGAGTAATTATAGCAAAAGAACCGACATGCCTATACAAAAAACTACAATTCAGAAGGGGGTTGCACGTTTTGAACCTAAGATCACCCTGTATACTGAATACACCACGCCATGTTTCAACTTTGTTTCGTAGATCTTTTAGTTTTAATGGTCCACATATTTATAATTCCGTAAATAACTTGTTTAAGAAATGTTCACTTTTCTCATTTAAAAAGAAACTCAAGGAGCATTATGTTTCTCATTAGTAAAATAATTGTATCTATTTCATTTTCATTTATTTTCTTTTTAAGATTACTTGTGATTAATATTACTTTTTTTTCGAATTCTTATTTTTAGAATAGTGTATTGTTTATTTAAGGTTAAGCGAGTAGCTTCGGCTAGACTTCGCCCGAAACCAATGTAAAGAAAAAAATAAATAAAAATTCGTTTTTTTTACAAATTCAGTCTATATTTATTTACGTGTTTATATGAAAACCCAAGTATTGATAGGGTTGGCGGGAAGAATTATATCGTCAGAGATGGTAATAATCCGACTAAGTGCAAAGGTAAAAATGGGAAAAAGTGATAATCATAGTTACAATATATTTGATGCTAATCGAATGTGCAGAAGCAATCAGAAAGACACAATCATTGCCACACTGTGCGACCTAGCAAAAGGCCAAAAAATTGTCATAATAATCACAGAGTAATAACATTTAAAAAATCGGGAAAACGTTAATACAAGTCCAGAAATAAATTTAGATTCGTAAAAAATGCAGACACATGTTTTACAACGTGCGATCCGTTTGACGCTTGTCAAGTCATAAGATTAATTTGAAACTAAATCAGATGAAAATAGAAGAAATCTGGTCTTAAAAAGGTTACGATGAAGTTAGTTTACGAGAAGCAAAGTCATTGCGTCGAACAACACAATATTTAGGGTAAAATTTGCGTCATTCCTTTTAAGTGGTTATTAGTCTTAGCTGCAGAGCAGATACGGGCAGAATATACTTCCTTTTGACTTTTTCGCGAAACTTAAATATCCCTGTATATGTGTATGTGTATATAGGTTCCGATCATTTCGTTATAATAAACAAGTTTCAACATGTTTATCGTGTTTTTTAGATATTAAGGTTTTCTGATTGGCATTGTCAAACTATTGCTTTAATATTTTTATTTTAAATAATAGGGACTTTTAATAAGGCAAGCTACGCACAATAAAAGATACAAATTAGTTAATTAATTAATTAATAATTAATTAATTAATATAGCTATCAAGCATGCTACACATATTTAGTCCTTCATGTAAATTAAAGCTCTTAGCAAGTAGCATTAAATAGCAGATAGTTGATACTAGTTAAATAGTACTTAGTAGCATTTAACGTGAGTGTTGCAACAAGGAAATATGTAAATGTAAAAGTAATTCATTTAAAAAAAATATTTATAGCCATTAGGAACAAATTCAATTGTAGTGCTAACCCTGTACCTTAGTTGATTTTACCTGGATTTAAACGAGCTACAATTAAGACTTCAATGAGCTGAGAATATTTCACAAGTGAATATTAAGTAGATTCTCAAGCCGTTAATTTAAAAAACGGCTTAAATAAGATAACTTCTAATGAAACCTAGTTAAATGAATTTTGTTCATTAATCTTCTAACTGAAAGCGCATTGTTAAGATTTGTTAATATTGCTAATGGCTCATGGCCAATTACCACAGCAAGAACTAAAGAAAAGGCACTAAGATTCAAACGGAATGAGAGAAAAAACCATTCAAACAGTCATCGTTTATTTTTATTGCATTGTGTTGATTCCGCTAGCCAATATGTGTACACGTAAGAATAATTTTTAGCAGTAATAATGAATTAGTTTATTTAAAATTTTATATGTTAATGCATTGTAATCTGTTTGAATGCCAAATAGACTCATATCTCTTAATCTGGTCAATCCCACTTACAAAAACATTCATAAAGACTCACCATAACAGTGGTTTAACAATCCGTAAACATAACAATTTTTTACCGTCAACGCTTGATGACATGTTTCATTACAGTAGTGGCTTGTGCTTGAGACAACACCGCATAGTAATGACCCATTCATCAGATTAATAATTTATTCTTTCACTATACAGCTAATTTATCATTGTCTGTATAAATTTGCCGGGATCTTTGTCGTCTTACAACGTCTGCCCGTTAGCTTAAAAGTTGATTCTCCTGTAATGATTTGCAAATTAAAAGTAATATGCAGGAATACAACTGTTCATGTTTTAAACCATCGGCAAGCGCTCTGGAGGGCGAATCTTATGCAAATCGAGTTTTATTTTTTTTTATTAAATTGAATAATTGGCGGTTTAGTGCTAAGAACAAAAAATACCAACTGCTACTAAATATCAAGATTCTACACAAATTAATAATGACTGCTTCATTTGCTTCTAGAGGGAAGTTTTTTGAGCTACTTATAGGAACTCATAATTTATCTTGGAGCAGGTAAAATGTCAAGCTTTATAATTTTGTAATATAGTAGAACAAAAACTATCGTTTTCGCGGATACAAAAATATAATCACTCTCCAAATGAACTACTTAGTATCTGTATCAACGTCTTTCTCTCCTGAATTCGACAATAGTGTACTGTAACTAAAGGAATATGATTTGACCGCCGAAAGATTATAGAAGGTCTTCTGTTTGGGTTAGTTGCTCTTATCATCATCAACTCATCATCCAGCTTCTTCTGGTGTTCACTGCTGGACATAAGCCTCCTCCATACGCCGTCAAAAATTTATATGTTGCGCAAGTGGCATCCAGTTGTGTTATATTTTCCGTATATCGTCTGCTCATCGTTCGGTGGTCTGCCCTGACTTCCTCTATCTTCACGGTGTCTGCATCCTAATAGTCGTTTGGTCCATCTATCATCGTTGAGTCGTGGACTATATGGCCTAAAAATCCCCATTTTTCAAAAAAAAAGACATTATAAAATTGAAAAACAAAAGAGGCGAGACAACATTGAACAAAAATGAAATTTTCGCAATAGCAATTTTTAAAATGTGCACACTTTGTACGTCAAAAACTTTTAGATGAAACTATTTTTCGAAAGTTCAGCACCAACGGAAATAATGGACTCTCTCGCACTAAAAAACCACTCTGTACATCGAAACACAAATCTATTTGTCTAAACGCTTGTGCAAAAGTAAAACTGGAAACTAGAGTTTTTGTTTATTACACGATTTCAATAGTTTTGCAGAAATCACCCAAATTGAATAAACCGATTGGATAAAATCTAACTAAAGGAATTTTATAAATATTCCCTATTAGAAGCATCGAGAAAAATTCCAAGTGCTGGTAACATTTTGCTTGCTTCTGAGAATTAACCATTACGGAATAGCAAATATCTCTAAAACTGGTTTTTGCTGAGAATTATTACCACATTGCCAACTTCAAAGACTTTTTCCAACTTACTGATAATGTCGTATGTAATTCAAGTGCGCCTGCTGAGCAATATAAACTTTTTATTTTAATTTGCCAACGCCTGGACCAAAGATAAATATAAATTACATGCGGATTCTTTTAGTAGCGCACATTCCTATAGGTCTCTTCCAGAATTCTTTTCCTTTTCACACATCAATCTGTGTTAAATTTCACTTTTAATTAAAAGTGATGTATGACCGTTCAGAACATGGCCGTAAACCAGACACATTTGTGGATGCCCAGATCATAGAGATTTTATTCTCAGGCTCCAAAGCCTATAAATTGTCCGGGTAAAACGAATACGCTAAATACATAATAGTGGTCAAAACGTTAACCTGTGTTAAAGAGTTCCGAGATATTTACCTGACTTAAAAGACGACACATTTTCAAAGCTATTTAAAATAACTGTGAGAGATGCTATCTGTAATCTGGCCCATGTATCTTTTCTAATTATGTTGGGGTTACTATACAAATGTTTATTATACTGGTGCTCGCAAAGGAATCAACATGGAATTTCTCTGACGAATGGCTTCGATATTTTATAAGGCGTATCTATTTACTAATGTCCTACCTATTACAAAATGTATTTTGTTCAAAATTGCGGAGATATGCTTTCAAACCGTAAACATGCGAGTTTAACTATAGTTCTAGAATGTTTATTAATTTTTCTGGCACCGATCTATGCTGATCGACTTTATTTCATCTGCTTCCGATGGACCCAAAAAAATTTGTAAGCATATTTATATCTAAATAAATCACGTCAAGATATATTAGGCAGACTTGTGATGTTATTGGTAAAGCGTATAAAAGATTCCCAGATTATGAAACTTCTAGTTTAAGAAAAAAATGTTACATTTGTAACTATAAATGTGTAGAAACAATTTTGACGTTTGCAAGCAGGCATGTTTAAACTTGAAGCTGATGCGCATTTCGACCTTTATTCCGTTGTGGATAAGAATTATTAGTTATTCTCAGAAGATTACACTGTGAACTTTCAAGCGAATCGTCGCAAGCCATTACATCAGTTCATGCAATTTGATTCTGTTTATTTATAGTTACTTCAGTTACTATTCCTATCATATTTTGTTAAATAGCGTAATGGAAGGAATACCGTTAACTCTGATCAGAAAATAAAAAAAATCAATTTTCATATTTGATGTCTTTCTTAAATGTCRATYAWKCCAAGTAAGAAGAAAACCTATTGCGGAAAATTTATTAAGTGTGATCATTATAGTGAACTCACCTGAAAGAATGACAATGTGTCTGAGAACCAGCGTTCTGTTATGTACCATGCCTTGATGACATGATTATTCCGTTAATTCTGGGTTCTCACGTACGCATCTGACTACCTAAACAACATTCGAACCCGATCTAGCTATAAATAACCTAATAGCGTCTTGATGTTACAACAAACAAAGTGGTTGAGCTTATTTTTCCTTTTTCGCGCTTAGAAGCTTTCATGAATCGATGAGCGTTTATCTAAATAAGATTGTCCGACACCATCTGTGGAAGTGGTGATAATTCTTTCAACTAGTCATTCTAAAGTGACCATTTCATTATTTAAGTATATTTTTCTTCTAGGATGGTTAATTGATTTAGTAATATTTCAGACATAAGATAGCCTTTTTGGTTTCACGTTCCAAGAAGAACGATTCTGGATAAACAAAAACGTCATCGAATTTTGATATAAAAGACCGTCTGATTTGTCCCCAAATCGCGGTCGTGCATTTTACCAAAATTGCATAACAGTCTTTTCCTCCATTATTTAGTATTTAATAAGTAAGAAATTTATTTCATAAATTAAATAAAAGTGTATAAAACATT